TTGCGAGAGAAGTAATAAATGGTAAAATTTTTGAGAAAGAAAAACTACAATATATTCATCATTGTTTCTCAGATAAAGGTTACCTTTATGAATGTGAAGGCTCTTTAATTGTGAAGTCCCTTGAAATTAATTTTTAAAAAATCTTACAGTTTAGCATTAACGGAGACTTTGAAAAGATCAACAAATCATAGAATTATTTAACAAAACATTTGTTTCATTGATAAAATAATTAGCATATTGCTAGACATAGATATGTCAAAGATTTGTTTTTAATCTAAAGATAACAAGAAGGTGTCTCTCTGATACCTACATAGATATGTCAAAGATTTGTGTTTAATCTAAAGATAACAAGAAGGTGTCTCTCTGATACCTACATAGATATGTCAAAGATTTGTTTTTAATCTAAAGATAACAAGAAGGTGTCTCTCTGATACCTACATAGATATGTCAAAGAAATGTGAAAGATCTGTTTTTAATTTTATGAAGCTTTTGTGCACTTTATCATTCTTACGCACTTCAGCGTGAATTTCATAATGAACGTGATATAAAGTAATCATCGTGCTATAAAGTTAAATTAGTTAAATTATAGCACGTGTGCTATAAAGTTTTGATTGGTTCCTGGATTTTCTCCAAAAAATAGGATATTTCCAGAATAGTTTTTTTTCAATTAATTGAAAATAAAATTGAAATCATCTTTATTTTGACGCTTTATTTCAAAGCTTATTTGATCTAGAAATAGCCATTGAAATATGACAAGTACACAAACGTTTCATAAAATTACCTATATCACTATTATTTTAGTACGACGTGCTATAAAGTTTTTGGACTTAAATTTTCTCTATATCTCGACGGTTCTCGCCTTTTTAGATTATATTTTGTCCCTCGCTAAAGTTCGGGACACAATTAAATCTGAAGAGGCCTGAACCTCCTCGATAAAGAGAAAATGTCTGTCCAAAAACTTTATAACACTGCAAACCAAAATAGCAGTTTTTTAAAAAAGTTATTCTCAATTCTGAATAATAATTGAGAATATAGCTGTGATTTTATTTTATTATAAACCTAGTGGTGAGCGAACAACGTAAATTGTAAATTTTACAACAGTATTGTAAACCCCTTCAGCTGCCTGGGAAATAAGATATATTCACAGGGGTTGGAAACTTTAGAAAGTTATCAAAACCTAGTTTCAAAACCTAAAAGTCAGAATTGGTCGTATACCATGTAGATGTCGGTAATAGGTAACTTTGTAGATTGAATTCTATAAAGTTACATTTATCCTTTTAAAAAATCAGATATCCAAACCCCAGCTCTTTCTGTGTTAAGTTACCAGCTCAAATGGAAATATCTTCATGATTCTTAGAAGATGGACCATCATTACACAGTAAAACAAACTAAAACATATTAATTTAATTTTACATAATAAAAATTAAAAAATACGTAAAGCAAGTTAGAACATATCTTTTTCAAAAAACAAATTTCTGAATTTTCCCACCTTCGCCCCAAGGATCACAATTTGTTGTAATTTCCTCATGTTTAGGGGGAATATATATACTCTATATAATAAAGCTCTTCGCTCATGTCTAAATATTTATATATTTGTATATATGTTATTTTATAGTTACCCATGGGTACCTTGCATGGGGGTAAAATAGGCTAAATATTTAAAGTTTTTGTTCTAATGCCGATTTTTTAAAATTCCACGCGCAATGCCGGGCACTTTAGCTAGTATTATATATTTATTAATTAGAGGTTTACAAAAAGATTTTTATCTTTAATGTTTGCAAAGTTCATTCACTTCAGTTTTTAACAAAATTATTATCAATTAACGTTTACAGTTAAAGTATGTGGCAGTTATTTATAAGATATGGATAGAAACGTATTTGTTTAATTAGGTTGATATCTTTTGTTTATTTTAATTTTTATTTTATGAAATCCTAGTAGGATTTCAGTCTTATAAGTTTTCAATCATTAACTCCATAACATTTGTTTTCTCAAATTGTCTAATCACTATATCTTTACAATCTTATATGATGTAAACCTTTGATATTTCCATAACCTAACTTAGTGGTCTAACGGAATTCATATTTTGAAATATCAAAATTCTACGACATTGGGTAGCAAAGATATAAAGATTAGAAAAGTAGAGTTTGTGAAAAAAAAACTCAGTTCCTTTAAATTTTTCATACGTGTACTTTAAATCAAAGCTAGATGAGCTACGAGGTCACAAAGTTGTACCAGTGATTTTTCATCGATTTAGAGTAGTTTAGAGTAAATTGTTTTCAATTTTATTTTTCGTTAGGTTTTTTGCTTTAAACCTCCTTCAGCTTTTAACTTAAATGCTACAAAATCTTTTATTAGCGTTCAGCGACCAAACTAATTACAGGTTATCGAGAAGGAGAGATGGTTAAATGTATGTGACATTACTAGTACGACTTAATGACATCGTAGCTCCTCTAGTATTGATCTCAATATACAAGTACGACAAAAGCATAGTTATACGGTTTTCATATAAGAAATTCAAAACAAAAGCTTTGTAATGAAGGCAGTTATAATTGAAAACATAAAAAGGTTTTAATTTGATGTGGAATTGACTTTAGTTTCGCGTGTATTAACCCACCCTGTGAGTATATGTTAGGTTTACAACAATTAGTCACTCGTTGGAATACTTTAAACCAAACTGTTTACACATAAAATAAACATTGACACCACTTGAAAGGCCCAAAATGTCAGGAATGTTTGAGAAAAAAATCAAGATTGTGAGAAAATAGTTTCTTATAAGATCAAAGATCGTGTTTACTTAAAAAAGTGTTCATCTTGAGATTTTCGATAAAAGAAAATTTTGGAGATTCGCAAAATTCCTCCTTCTAAAAGTATATCTATTATACAGAGTTACCCATAAAGAAAATGGCGTCAAGGACGACTACATGGAATTTTTTTCTTTTTTTCTTTATTTGTCTTATGAGTCAGCTGTCCGTCAAAGACAATTTTAAAATGTTTAAATTGATCAATGTATTCAAATAATTTTAGGTAGCAATTTAAGTTTCATGCTTGATAGTGGATTCTGTAAAATTTAAAAAATGCACCAAATTTTACATTCCCGCTTTTTTTGTAAGTTAATGATTTCGGCTGTAATGTTCAGTTTAAGGAAAAATTACAAAGAGAGAGGCAGAGATAGAGACAGAAGTTCTTAGATTAAGAAAAATCAGTATTTACAACAATACTTAATTATGATTTTACTATCTGTTTTGAAAAATGATTTTTTTCCGTTAAAGTATTGTTCATTTGATACTCAGTAACAAGCTAGTTACCTAGGTAACTCTTAAATCTTAAAAGTTTAACTTTTAAGATTTAAAAGAACTATTAATAAGTAGCTTATATATCAACTCCAAACTAAAGATGCATGTTGTATTCTGAACCAGACCTAAGTATAGTTTAGCTTAGTCTTGTATCTTGTAAATAATAATATTTAATCTTATCTTTTGTTTATGCAAACTGAGCTGAAAACTTTAGAACGGATAAACTTTAATCCTGACTTCTTGATCCGAATATCCACTGTGGAAACTTTTCATTTTAGTCCTTAATCCACTCTTTTTCTCTCTCCTTGGATATCCGTTAATTGTTTTCTCCAATGAGAATATTTCTGTTCTCTCATTGGTTGCCCGCTTTTCTCTGATTGGCTGCTACAGTTTCTCAGATGATTAAATATTAATTTGAATTTTATCGTTTTTCATACACTTTTAAGATAATCTTGCAAGATTATGTTAATCTGGAGATCAAGAAAAAGAGTGGATTAAGCCTTAATCCCGATATCCACCATTCAAAAGTTCCCAGCTCTGTTCTAGTAAAACAACTTTAACATTTCGTTCAAGGGACACTGTTGACTGTATACTGCACACTGTAAACTGTACACTTTATACTTTACACTTTACACTGCACATTGTACAATACAGTTTATGGTACAGTGTACAACATGGTTGAATTTTTCTGTTAGAACGACGCTAAAGTTTTAAAGGATACCATAGTTTTAACTTATCCAGTGTCAGATGGGGCACTTTGTATATTACAAAAATACCATATTATTTACAAAATACCAGTATCATGAATCAGACAGGAAAATTCTTTAATTGGGTCGTTTACCTGCAGGTAGTACATGCAGTACGGGGACTCACAAAACTAATTTGAGCTAACCGTGAATCATCTCTAAATGGCGTTAGAGCTGTTTTTAAAACGTAAAATATCATGATCTTAAAGTGCTTTATGGTTTTTTAAAGTACATATTAATTTTTTCAACAATTTAATGCTTATCAGGACTATCTGTTTCCTGTGGTTTTATTAGATCGATATGTAAGGTTAACCATAAAGGATGGGGCTTTAAAAATGACCTCAAATTTTGTCTTCTATATAGTCTCTAAACGCTTGGCTGTAGAAGAAAATACATTTGCAGGAACCCATAAAAAGACTACAGGGTGTCCCAATAAACATGGGAATTCAGTGACGAATTTCGATATCGTCTTTCAAATAATTCTTTGATTTAGTATAGTGATACCTACTGAGAAAGTTGTAATCTGTAAGAGTTTCGTCTGCTATGTTCACATTTTGTTTGTTTATGTTTTGACTGCATACGGTTGTACTTAGTAAAACAAGAAAATTACAGTATACAAACAGAGTAAACTTGTCCGTCTTCACTGTTCATCTTGCGGAGAAATTACAGACACATCTTTACAGCCATTCACCGTTTTCATAAAATAAACTCTAGCAGACATAATAATATTATGGCTTTTGAAATTAGGTATTACAATGCTAATTCATAACAAAGACCATATCGAATTCGTCACTGAATTGCCATGTTTTTTGGGACACCCTGTAGATAAATTTTGTACAGTTTTCTCCAAAGTCTTATCTTTTATGGGTGACCCTGTATATATTGAAGCAACAGATGTAGTTATTTATTGCTAACACACTGTTATAGAGTAATATCTAACTAATCGTTCTGATTTGTCCAGGGATAAGGATAAACTAGAGTTCTCAAGATGGAAAGAACGACAGTTAGCAGAACAAGAACGAATCAGGTATTTTACAATCAGTTCATATTGTACTCTCTCAAAGTGTTCATGTTTTTGTAAATAAAAAATTAATCTGAAGTCCCTAATCTTTGAATCGAGCATTGATCTTCATCGCATGAACATCTACGAATTAACTTAATGCTTCATCGATATTCCGTGGTGGTCGTACACCGGAGGATAACAGAGAATAACATTAATTGAAGGATCAAGCATTGGTCATCAAATTTAGAATTGTCCACTTTGGATATCGATATCAAGCATTCAAGATTAACGATACTTCACACAAAAGTTCCCAGCTCAGGGTTCCCAGCCTTCTTCAAAATAAATACTAAACCTTAGCAGCAGAATTAATTTCTGGTGTGAAATGGAGGATTCTTGTTGTTTTATTTTATTTTTCTTGGACTTCATCAAAACTTTAAATTAACAAGGAACTCACTTATTAAAAAATATGATTTCATTCCACTCAATCTGCACTAAGACCATCTACTTTTGATTACATTAGATTTTCCAGAAAAAGAGAGCGAATTCAAGAATTCATTAAAATTTTCAAACAAAAAAATCAGATTCTTTCAGGCACCTTGAGTCGACCCCTGAACCCCCCTCCAGGCCTCCAAAGAACCCGAACTTGTTTCAGAAAGATCTCAATCCGCAATTTATTCAAAAACAAACGAAACCAGATCTTTTCACTCCTAAACCTTTTACCAGCAACGGCTTACAGCAAAGGTAAAGTCATTAAAGTAAAAAATGTTTTAAACTTAAATATTTACCTTATTTTTGTAGATTAAAGCCTGTTGTTCCACCTAAACCTGTTTTTAAACCAATAACCGAGAACTACCTCAACTGTATGCGAGCTTCAGAACAATCATCCAAACCAAACATTAACCATCGTCTTTCTTCAAAATTATCAATTCAAAATGGCGGATTTTATAAATCTCCCGCCAAAAGTTCAAATATTGAATTCCAACCTGAGGTCAATGTTTCAACAAGCTGTAACATAAATACAGATTATGTAACAGATCGTGCTCGGCTAGTCAGAGTTGACAGTCAGCTATCCGACCGTTCTGTCAGGTAAAATAGAAATAATGAAATAAATTTAAATCAATTTAAACATTTGTATTCCTTTAATTTTAGTAGTGATAGTCACAGTTATGGACTTACCCATCCAAAAGAATCCAACCAAGAAGAAACTAAACTTATCTTATCAAGGAAATTTTAATTTATATATTTTCTAGAAATATCATTATATATATGTCAGCCAATCCGGACTGAAACCTTATAATTCCACTTTTTGCATTATGTTGATAAGCCACTTTTTATAATTAATAATTCAGCCTTAAAGCTTTCATTAAATGCATTAATTAAATGTTTATAAAGTTATAATTTACATTTTTGAAACAGCACCAAGCATGAGCGACGTGAAAGCAATATTGATAATGAAAAATCATTTTCTACACAGAAGTCTTTAAACGACAGGTGGGTCACATGAAACTAACTAAATCTAAGTATGTCTAGACTACATCGAAACAAATTCTTGTTTTGATCAGCAATTAAAATCCCATAGAAATGGTTCAAAAGTAAAGGATTAATTACAGAAAACAGTACTTCTGGATGGGTTTCCATATGCATGGATAAGCATAAACTTAAATTTAACTAATCTGATAAAAGAATATTTCTCTTTTGAAAAACTAAAAATTACAAATGTTTCAGTGATTTGAAAGAAGAGTTGAAAAGAGCTCAGAAAGAGAAATGTCAGCTAATAATCAGAATCAATGCAAAATTAAACATTCTCAGGTAAAAGTTTTAAAAAAAAACTTTTTAAACAAGTTTTTAAGTGGATTCATTTTCAATATGTTTTAAAATATTGTTTTTCGTGTTGGGACATTTCATAAATGGTCATTTTATAGACAGGACATTTTATAGATAAACCATACAATATAAGACATTTCATAGATAAACCATACCATATAAGACATTTTATAGATAAACCATACCATATAAAACATTTCATCGACGGACATTTTATAGATAAACCATACCACCTAAGACATTTCATAGACTGGACATTTAATTACATGGCAATAACAACAATTTTTCTTGGAAAAGGTGTATCAGTTTTTCCCCTACTTTTTTTTTCTTGATATACTATTGAATGCTATTTATACGATTTCGAAAACTTTTTTTCTCTGTACATGAATTTTCTTATCTATCAAATGTCCTAACTTTAAAATGTCCTGTCTATGATTTTGTTAACATTGAAATGGCCAAGTATTCCCATGAAATTTCCCACCACCCTTCTTTTTTTAACAATTAGAATAGGAATTAACTATATTTATCCATTTAAATATTGCAGAGAAGAGAAGGAGTTTATAGAGTCGGAAATCCACGAAAATGAAGATCTTGCAGAACAGGTATATTGTCCATTGTACACTGTACATTGTACAGTGTACAATGTACATCATAGTATACTTTGCAGTACAGTAATAACCAATCAAAGTCTTCAGAGATTTTTTCTTAAAACTCAAAATATCATTGCATAATATCTTAATTTTTAATGAACGTTTTTCTTTCTAACAAGAAACATTTAAATTTAATAAAAAATGCAGTAAATAGGTATTGTTATACTTCAATACAGCTTTGCATCATCATTTCATGTACGCCTTTATTTCAGATTGTTATTTCGACAAGCAATTTGAAAATGGGATTCGAAATTGAAAATTTCTAGCATTTTCGCGAACTTTTCGATTATTACATGTAGATACAGCTTCTCCAGATTGCTATAGTTATCAACAAAGGACTGTACATTTTTTGTTTCTCTTTTAGACCGGAAAATGAAGTAATGGCCTCGCTATTTAAATATGAAAATTGAAAATATGTTTTCTTTGTTTTTGTTTTGATGTGGTACACCCGTCACTAAAAGTTTATCATTAGAGTAGAAACAATATATACAAAAACATTTAAAGATTCTTTCAGTCCTAGGTCTTTAGTTTAAATAAGAAATTTGGGCTCAAATTAAGTTAAAACTTTTATAACGTGTATATTTGATTATTTTGTGACAACATAGTAGTGTTCCAATCAAAACTAATATTCTTAGATTTTTTTTTAATAATCTAGACTGGCGGCCATTTAATGTAATGTCTTCGTCAAAGGAAGTTCAAGTTCTTGTCATAAACTCAAATCTTCTGATTACTATATATTTGCAACCGGATTTTCTAATCGCTATATCTTTAAAACCTGACGGAGTAAACCTTTCTGTTGGTTCTTAACACACACAAATGCACAGAAATCAATCAATAAATCATTTGACTAATCAATTGATCAACCAATTAATTTGTGTTAAGGTTTGTGGTCAGCTGGAGGGGTTAGCAACAATACGAGAGGTTGACAGAATAAGGTACAGTCGTCGTCGTATGTATAAATACTACAAAGACGACTTTTACAATAAATTTTGATTTCTACCAAGCGTTCAATACATATAAGTATGGAAACAAAGAAAACCTGGCAATTATCAGCTTTTCTTTCTTTACTTGTAAATTTGTATTGCAAAAAAGCTTGTTTTAAATTAAAATTTAAAGAGAAAAATCGTCTTTATTGTATTGATATACATGCCGACCATTGTAATATAAGATTTGATATGGACTGATGTATGGAAAATGGAAATTCTCATCGTCTTTGTTTTTCTTTTAAGTTTTAACTATTGAATATTGGTTAAAGATTATATAATTTGCAACTCAACTATTTCTAAAAGACTGAATTGAATATCATTTGGAACAATTTAAAATTGAAAAATATACTGCGACATTCCATGATTAAAGGATAGGAAAACGACGAAAATTCCTTGTTTTCTGGTTTCAACAATTTAAAAGAAATAACAAAGACGACATTCATTCCTGAATAATCTTTATCCAGAGTTATCTGATGCTAACTTTAGTGAATCATGAGTTGGCAACTTTCGAAAAGAGTTGGAGGAAACTACGTTGTTTCTTATAGTTAAAAAATATTGCCTAAGAATTTTTAATTTTGTTGAAATTGTTATAAGCCTAGACTGTTTAGAACTCATTTTAAGAAATAAATCAATTACAAATTACAGTATGCCTAGAGAGATACCGTAAAAAAGTCCACTGTTTTCTGGTTACCAGTGTATATTTAGACGACACATGGACGAGGTAGGAAAGGTGACCAGCCTAGTCCTAGCTCTTAGCTCCAGGCTAGCCCGGCTAGAAGCAGAGGATCCCAATATACAGGTATAATTCATATTATGTACAGTCATAACCAGAAAACTGTGGAATAGACAGATGAAATTTAAGCGAAATGGGTCTATTTGTACTGCGCAATTGATGTTTCTCATGTTTATTGGACTAGAAAACGTCATAAGTCATCTTTATAAAAGTCGTCTTTCTAAAAGTCGTCTTCCTATTCCTATACGTGTGAATCCATATTTTGAATGGAATTCGCATCAATTTGCATTTGAGACCACTATACCAATCAGGCAGTTGCTTAAGTAGTTTGCGCGCTTGCCGCGTTGAACTACAAGAAATAGAGAGAAATTAGTATATTTTTTAGGATAAGGCTTGGTTAAAACACTTTCTTGGACAGGCTAAAAGGGGGCCGAACTCCGCGGCTAAAACAGGATCTCTCTTTGTCTTGTAATTTAAAGCGGCATGCGCGTTACTTTGGCCTTGTGACTATCAATCATAACCTTAAATAGTTGTTGCCTGGAGGTGTGTAAATTGGGGAAGTGTTTATGGGGGTTAAGCATAATTTATTCCCAAATTATAGAAATTAATACTCACGCTTTAGTATTCAGAGTGTAATATCAATTTACTCTTAAGTTCTTGGACACATTGGTTTTTAAATCTAATAATTTAATTTTAAACGGTGGTAGGAGATTATATCAATATAATGGAGACGACTTTTGATTCTAATTTTGAATTATCAAACTTTTAAACACCATGAATACACAAAAATGAAATTAAAAAAGCTACTCTTTAATTGCTTATAAAATTCGAAAAAAGCTTGTTAACAGTCAACACTTAAATAAATTAGTTCTTCTTCATTATATTGATATAATCGCCTACCACCGTAGGACCAGGATGAGATTTTATGGAAGAAGAATAAACTGAGACAGCAACTTGAAGAGGCTAAAAATCTTCAAGAATTATCAAATTCAAGACGACATAATCTTACATCCATCATTTCAGGTTAGATTGACAAATAAACTCCAGGCCATGGTTTTAGTGTTTGGTTGTAATAACATAATTTAACAGGGTTCTGATCAGATATAGGTCTATCCATGGTTATAGTGTTTGGTTGTAATAACATAGTTTAACACGGTTCTAATCAGATGTCTATTCATGGTTATAGTGTTTGGTTGTAATAGCTTAGTTTAACATGGTTCTAATCAAATATAAGTCTATTCATGGTTATAGTGTTTGGTTGTAATAACTTAGTTTAACAAGGTTCCGATCGGATATAAGTCTATTCATGGTTATAGTGTTTGGTTGTTATAACATAGTTTAACATGGTTCTGATCGGATCTAGGTCTATCCATGGTTATAGTGTTTGGTTGTTATACAGGGTGTCCCAAAAAACATGGGAATTCAGTGACGAATTCGATATCGTCTTTTTAAATAATTCTTTGATTTAGTATAGTGATACCTAATGAGAAAGCTGTAATCTGTAAGAGTTTCGTCTGCTATGTTTACAATTTGTTTGTTTATGTTTTGACTCCATACGGCTGTACTTAGTATAACAAGAAAATTGCAGTATACAAACAGAGTAAACTTGTCCGTCTTCACTGTTCATCGTGCGGAGACATTATAGACACATCTTTACAGTCTTTTACCGTTTTCATAAAAGAAACTCTAGCAGACATAATAATATTATTGATTTTGAAATTAGATATTACAATGCTAATTCATAACAAAGACGATATTGAATTCGTCACTGAAGTCCCATGTTTTTTGGGACACCCTGTAACATAGTTTAACATGGTTCTGATCGGATCTAGGTCTATCCATGGTTATAGTGTTTAGTTGTTATAACATAGTTTAACATGGCTCTGATCGGATCTAGGTCTATTCATGGTTATAGTGTTTGGTTGTTATAACATAGTTTAACATGGTTCTAATCGGATATAAGTCTATTCATGGTTATAGTGTTTGGTTGTTATAACATAGTTTAACAAGGTTCTGATCGGATACAAGTCTATCCATGGTTTTAGTGTTTGGTTGTTATAAAATAGTTTAACATGGGTATGAGTCTATCTATGGTAAAAACTGATCTCGACGTCATTATTTGGATCCTTTATGTAGTTACATGTATATTCATTCATATTTTTAAGACACTCACGATAGTCAATAAATTTTGCGTCCATTGACAGTGTATCTTTATAAAACAAAAAATATACCTTTCGTCTAGTCTAAACTCCTGACAGCTTATCACGTACAAATCATCACTTACAATCAAAAAATAAAATGGAGAAAAGATTGAATGTTGTTCATTTATTAAATCATTTCAATAGAGATTCTTAATCCTCTCAATTTTATTTGGTCAAACATGATTAATTTAACGACGTGTTATAATTTTTTTTTGACAGATATTTTCTTTTTATCAAGAAGGTTCAAGCTAAAGTTCAGGACAAAAAATATAGTAAAGAAAAAATATCTGTCTAAAAACTTTATAGCACTGCGAACCAAACACAGCTATTTGAGTTAAAATAACATCAAATTCACATAAGATTGGAATAATGTCGTCTTCCCATTACACCGTTTTATGGGTCTCACTGTATGGAAAAGATATATATAACAGGATATTTGGATACAGTGTGGACTCATAACTTAGATGTATATTTAACAGGATATTTGGATACAGTGTAGACTCATAACTTAGATATATATTTAACAGGATATTTGGATACAGTGTGGACTCATAACTTAGATATATATTTAACAGGATATTTGGATACAATGTGGACTCATAACTTAGATATATATTTAACAAGATATTTGGATACAGTGTGGACTCAGAACAGATATATATTTAACAGGATATTTAGATACAGTGTGGACTAATAACTTAGATATATATTTAACAAGATATTTGGTTACAGTGTGGACTAATAACTTAGATATATATTTAACAGGATATTTGGATACAGTGTGGACTCAGAACTTAGATATATATTTAACAGGATATCTGATACAGTGTGGACTCATAACTTAGATATATATTTAACAGGATATTTGGATACAATGTGGACTCAGAACTTTCACCGTTATTTAGATGAAAAATCAAGGTAACAAATATTTAAATGAAAAGTTTAACCCACAAACAATACTTTTTCTACCAATGTATTAAAATTTTAGGCTGATTTTGGAAATGAAGGAAATCCAGGATAAAATTAAGCTAGGAGAACAGCAAATACTGAACTTAGAGCAGCTTTAACTGGAGAACAGCAAATACTGAACTTGGAGCTGATTTAGCTGGAAAACAGCAAATACTGAACTTAGAGCATCTTTAACTGGAAAACAGCAAATACTGAACTTCGAGCTGCTTTAGCTGGAAAACAGCAAATACTGAGCTTTGAGCTGCTTTAGCTGGAAAACAGCAGATATTGAACTTATAGCAGCTCTGGTTGGAAAACAGCAAATACTAAACTTAGAGCAGCTTTAGCTGGAGACCAGCAAATACTGAACTTAGAGTTGCAGCATTAGTTGGAGAACAGCAAATACTGAACTTAGAGCAGCTTTAGCTGGAGAACAGCAAATACTGAACTTAGAGCAGCTTTAGCTGGAAAACAGCAAATACCGAATTTAGAGCAGCTTCAACTGAAACTTATTCTGGCAAATATTCCTCTTACTCATTTTATAACAGCTCCTCTTTCCAGGGTTTTATTAAAATTTCTACTGTGATATGTTTATGGCAATATGTAATAATATTGTTAGCTGCAAATAACTATTTATGCGTTTAAACATAAATAAAAAGTTTTTCAATGCACTTTATTATTTTTAAAATGTAATGTTTTTTCTATACTTACAAATACAAAGAGTATTTTTACTATTAAATGTCTGTTGGTTTGTTTGTATCAAATAACCGTTAAACGGCAGAAGTCAATAGACCTGTATTTTGTGGCTCACTGTTCTATGAAAGGTTAAAATAGATTAACTGTTCCAAACAATTTAGATTTTTCTTAAAACAGAAAGTTCTGAAAAATCAGAAATTGTTATTTCTTGATAATGTGCTGTTTATTAAAATAATAATTTTAACAGAAAACCTACAAAACAAAACAAAAAAGATTCAGCAATTTAAAGAAAAAAAGAATTTTTAAACATTTCACTTTTTTTACTCATTCATCGAATACCTACAACGAAAAAAATCAGATTTACGTAAAAGAATTCAGAAAATTTCCGGTGTACAAAAGATACTATAAAACTTTTCGTTTCGTAACCTGGAAATTTTCTGGTTTCCATGAAGTAGACCATAAAATATTCCGGTTTATGTGAAGAAAAACGGATATTTGTCTACTTTTTCCTCGTTTCTATTAAAAAGGCCGTAAAGTCAATTAGTTTCCATTATAAAGACCGTAAAATCAATTAGTTTCCATTAAAAAGACCGTAAATCAATTAGTTTCCATTATAAAGACCGTAAAATCCATTAGTTCTCATTATAAATACCGTAAAATCAATTAGTTTCCATTAAAAAGACCGTAAATCAATTAGTTTCCATTAAAAGACCGTAAAATCAATATAAACAGGATAATCCATATTCCATTGCGTTAACTGCAAATCTTCAATAACACACTTTTAAAAAAGACCTACAGGGTGAGGCGGGCAAAAAAATTGAATTCTTTGTCGGCCTGATAGTCGGCCTGAATTTACATTTATTTTTCTAATTTGATTTCTCATCGGCAAATTGAAATCAGGCATTACGTAATTTTACAAGATGAAAAACGTATTTGCTGAAGTGCCCGGCATTACCCAGGTACTACCGTGAACAGTTAAAAAACGTGTGTTTGTTGTCTATTCTGAACCAATAGAAATAGTATGGCGGTAACATCTATCTTTTTATCTATCTCATTATCCAATTAGAGTTATGAATCCTTCAATCAGTAAATTGAAAATATTGACTTCTACTAAAACTATAGTGCTTGGCAATTAAATCATAATTTTCCATTAAGTCATCATTTCAAGATTTCTAATGCTTCTAGAACAACAGGTTTTAGATTGTTCTAGAAAAAAATTATTATTAATTTCTAGAACAGTTTTCTGGAATTTCGGGAAATTTCGGAATCGTTCCGTAAAATCCATTATCTGGCCCGGTTACGTCCGGTTCATGGGGGGGGGGGACTTTAATAGTAACCCTGTAAGTGAATAATACCTTTAAGCATTAAAATGACGCAATGAGTACGAGTTACGACTTGTATGCAAATTCTTGGTCACCGTGCGTAAATATTTCGTAAAATTCATTTTTTCTGCAATCTTTCCATTTCAAATGTGATCTACGCACTATTTTAACAAGAATATATTTTAAATCTTTGGGTCAGAGAAAAAGTGTCAAACTAACATTTCCATTTTCAGCCGGCCCGGCAGATGTGTCTGAACATTGAGAACCAGAAAAATGTGAAATAGAAAGACGACTTTTTTTAAATACCTAAGTATACACAAAGCAGACAGTTTTACTTTGGACTTATTAAATCAATTATTAAGTTAAATGGCTCTGTTAAACTGCACACTTTGTGACTTTCTGTGTCTCATGTTCATTGGTCTGTTTAAAGAGTACTGCAGTACAAACGTCGGATCTATAAACGTCGGACTTGTACTGGTTCGACGATTATACTGTCCGACGTTTGTAAGCTTTAGATTTGTATCGTAAGATCGTTGTGGAACCGACGTTTGTTCTAGTACGGTCATAAATTGACTTTAAACGTCACTTCATATTTTACAGTTTTCTGGTTCTCGCTGTTTTGTCGCTACCAACTTTTTCAGTTTTCAGTTTCGTATTTTACTGTGCATTGTCTAACTTTCATATTTTGTATTCATTGCATGATCTCAAAGATTTAGCTGTTTGTTAAAAATGTTCTTTTTAACCTTGATTTTTGGACAGATACATTTGCACAAACAAACCTAGAATTTCAACGGCATCCGAACGACTCCTCCAGCTCTTAGAAGAAACTTTAACATTTTATCATTTCGAACTTACCGAAAGCTGCATGTGAAATAAATTTTGTTCTGAATAAATCCGCATAAAACTTTAGTGAAGGCTGAACCACAATTGTAAAATATATAATGATCTTTAATAGTTTTGTTTATATCTAGGTTTAAAGGGTAAACTTGTAAATCGCTCGTGCTACTTTTTGAATAAAGGGAAACATTAAAGTGTGCCAACAGTCTCTTTAAGTTTCTGAGCAGAAAGTGTGTTTTATATTTTCTAATTAAAGAATAATCACAGTTTCATGAGAAAAACTATTCCCTAGTTTGACCATGAGTAGCTCTAAACCCCTCGCGTTGTGTACAGCAGCGTATCATTCTTATATTATAAAAATCCTTCAGTTCTTCATACACCGGCAAACCCTACAATATGCACCTTCCACCGCTCTCAGTGGTATGATCAATCAATTTAAAACCTATGGCCGGGCATTTAATGAATTATAAATATACAAGGTTTCCTACAAAGGTTGAGACTGTAAAGACGACCCAAAATTCTAAAACTATGACGGTTTGAAGCTTGATTTTTGGTTTCTGCATTCATTTGATTATTTTAATAGTTCACCATATGATTAAGCACAGAAATAAGCCAGTTTTGACCTATAAGTAACCCTTAATGCAAGACAGTGGACTAAACAAATTCCGCACAATAGTCTCAGAAGTCTCATTCTTTTTGGGTAACACTGTAAAATCTTGGTTAATACTTATTAACCACTTGGAAAATCTTGAAACGGATTTATGACCAATAAAAAAATACAGACAACAATGGTTTCCTTATTATTACACTGTGCAGAGATATCTGTGGAAAAAAAAAAACTGTTTTAAAGAATTCTTTTAAATCAAAATTGTATTTTTGTGTTTTTTTTATGAAATAAACAATTCCGCAAAATCGAAATTTCACGATTCAACTTTAGTTTTTAGGATACCTGAGTCCGAATTTAATGAATTTGAGCCGCGTCTCCGGTTTCAATTGAGCGCCGACTTAAAACTTAAAACATTTAATACAATTTTAAGTGGAACCAACCATATTTGAGCTGCATCTCAAAATTTAAGCCGTGACCCAAATTCTTTAAATTCGGCCTCTGGATAAAAGTTTATAATTCTTGGTTAGAAATAGCTAACTTAGATCAATTACCTGAACTTGCATTTAGACCGTTAAATCTGAATAAAAAATCTAATTTTAATTCCGGAGAGAATTTGGCAAACACGAACCAAAATTATCGTTCAAAATGATTGATTAGATTAAAAATATTTCAAAGTTTAATCAATTAATTTGTACAGTATATAATTTGAAATCTTCGAGTTTAAGTATTTGTTTTGTCCCAATTTTTAAGTTCAAAATCCTCAACAACGAACCAAGCTATATGTCCGTGAAGGTGTTTGCCGGTCGAAATTCTTAAAATGCTACCACAAAGAAATTTAGATTTTTGATTTTTTAATCCTCTACTTGAGAACAGAAAAATCCGTGAAATCTTACATTTCTATTTTTTTATATTTATGGTGAAAGTAGGATGTAAACGCTAAAATATTGTTCAAGAAACAGGTTCACAGAACTTGTGTTAATAATCCAAAAAACAAGGTTCTCGTCAAAACTTTAATTTATTTCTAGACCCGATGCATGTATATGGTAACAAAATCGATTTCTTCATGCTTTTCTGCATAATTGATGTGAAATGATTAGATAAATACACGACATAAAATGTCATCTGGGTTTGAGGCATTATAAGGTCATTAAACCCAGAATATATTTACACATATCATTGTTAAATGTCTCTACACCAATGATGAAACCAGTCTCTAGATTTATCTATGAATTACTTTTTTATACTATCTTGTAATGATATAGTTTTATGAAAACAGAAGAACATATTTGGTTTATTATTAACATTAACCCAGGAGGAGACTTTAATGGAGACATGAAATTTTTTAAAAATGACGATACGAAGGTTGAGTTTGGTTTTGGGCCTTTAAAACAGTTCTTGACAAACAAGCTTATTTTACTAAAAAACGACAAGATTACAACTACAGAGAACCATGCAGATAAAGGAGTCAATTAGTTCCGTGCAGTCGTCTTGTAAATCTCGTCTTGTGTGGGCAACTTTGTATAAAATTTCTAATTCTCAATATTTGTCCTTCACATTTGAATTGATAAAGAGATAAAAACTTGTATTCTACGACAAGGGTTTGGACGAACAGTAGAATTATGGCATTAAAGGGTCCGTTGATCTAAAAGTTGTCAATAAATTAAAGAGTTAAACGCCCGATTAACAACGATACCTTTTAAGTATTTATCTGAGTATGTTTTTGTAATTCTCTATAAAAGAGATGAAAATCATATAATTGCTCTTTCAAAAGAAAATAGGTCACGTGACTCTTTAAATGGAGGGTCATGTATATATATCTATCATTGTTCAAACCAAGCCACTCGGAATTCCTAACAAAAGAAGAGATTTAAGCTTGAAATAAGAAAAATCTTGGGCAATTTATTACAGGGCTTTATTTAAAGAATGCGCTGACCAGTAAAAATGTGTGGGACTTTATTCAGAGCTCAGGCATTAGCCAACGTGTCGTGTCACTCAGTGTGAGTGTCTGCGTGAAACATTCTCATATGAGAATCAATATTCTTTTGAAATCCTAAATCGTTTTTTATTTCAAGTTTATACTTTACTCACGTACAATTTATAAAGCCTTAGTGTTTCATTGTTGAACACATGCAGGACTATGAGTACAAACCACCTTTGTTAATTGTACTGTATAACCCCTTCAAGTTCTTGTTCACAGTCACTTTCAGATGATGAAAGTATGGAAGAAAAAGGTTTGACCTTGTCAAGGCTTGAATACTGCCTGACATTGTGTCATCAGGGTTCTCAAACTAAGCAATACGGCAGAGGAGTTTTTAGTACTATAGTAATTACCATATTGCGTTAATTTAGGTTTAAAGCAATATAAAAAGTGGGATTGCCCTTGATTAAGCGCCTTAATTAGAAGTTCACAGCACGCACAGAAATGTATACATCATACACATATATGTTAAACAATTAATCTTGATACCATGTGTATTGCATCTCTCAAAACCAATATAAAGAGAATTTCTTCGAAAAGTCCATGGTATATGCGTGAAGAAATTTAAAGATAGAAAGATAAATCTCAAATTATATCGTTGACATCTCCCCTTCCCATGAGACGGTTAGCTGAATATCTTGTACAGTGGGACCCATACAACTATGGAAAATAAAGATAAATGTTAGACTCAAGTTATGATTTTGAATATTCCAATGAACATGAAATGTGCGATGTGAACGGACTGATTCACTTAAAATATTGAATTTCACCGGTGAAACAACATTAAATAGAAGATTGCTAAAATGTCGTCATTTTTTATGAAAGACCTATTTTCCTGGTTGTGTCAACTAGTCACTCATAGAACCTAATGCAATTTATTTTTCCTGTTCGATTTTTTAAAAAGTTGAAATTTACGTGACTATACCACGTGACATTGCATGATATATCACATGCCATTTCTTGATATATCACATTTTATAAGATATAATGTGGCATTTCATAATATATCACCTGACCTTGTGTAATATATCACGTGATCTGGTAAAATATGTCACGTGCTATTGTATGATGATATATCACGTGCAACCTTGTGTGATATCTCGTGACATTTCATAATATATCACTTGACCTTGTGTGATACATTACTATGACCTTGTATGATATATCACCTGTCCTTGAGCAATATATCAGGTGACATTTTATTTAGATTGTGCTGGTTAGTATACCTGGTTCAACTTTTACCTGTCTAACCTATGTTCCCCCAATATCTAGACAGGTATTGCTCTATCTACCTAAAAGTCGGTTTGGTATTTCAATAAAACCAGAGTTTTCAGTGACATTAAAGTAACAAATAAAAACGTTGATGATATATGATCGCACGTGTACTACAAACTTTGAACTATAAAGTCAGTTTCAGGATGTACATTTTTACAATGTACAAAGAAAAGATTTGAATAAAATATAGTGATATTTTATAGTCACGTTAAACTAAAGTAAATCGCACGTAAGATTGAAGTATTTTATGTTTTCAATCATAAATTCCTCTTATTGAAGAGTTAATAACAAAGAGAATAGAACATATATTAGAGTGAAATTTACTAGAAAAAAAATGTAAAACGGCCATTTTGTTGTACTGTTTCCATACTGCAGGTGTACTTCACATATTTGTGCTATATAACCTTTTGGGCCCTGGAACATCATTTTATAGAAAATCTAAAACTAATAATAAAAGAAAACCAAATTATGTAATAGGCTGATTTCATAATTGACCAATGATCATTTCACATAGACTCTATGCCTTTCACTTTACAAACGATGATTTTCTGTTATAACTATAAATCAAATGATGTTTTTTATTTTATAATTCATTTTATAAAGTTTATTTAAAAGCTTTAAAAAATTCGAAATTGAAATGGATAGTCTAGGGAACATACTGCATTAATGTACTCTACTGCATATAATTTGTGATTTACATGATTTGTACACTTTGAACTCCCTTTCAGGCTGAAAGGGACTGACAAAATTCATACCGAGGGATTCTCTAAATTCCACTATAATATATATTCTATTCTCTTTGGTTATTTAGAAGAACAAACATTTTTCGAATGTCTGACATAGAACCGGTCCACCGGATAAGTTAGCACGTTTCGTTTTGAAAAAAATAAACAGAAAACAGAAAACATAAATAAGGATTTTTAAAATGAATTTATGATGGTACTCTTATTTATTTGGATACCTAGCACCCCCTTAATCTCTTCACCCCCCCCCCCCACCCCCACAAATACACATTGTAAGAACATGGTCCATGGATAAAAAGTACGACGTACGCATGCATGGGAAATCATTGTGGAAAATATAAGGTTAAGAGATTTTTTTCTGATCCTTAAAGTATGTGGTTAGATTTTAGTATCTCGTATTTTTTGCAACCCCTCCCCCCCGCAGCCTTCTCTGCTAGCCTGTCATGTGCCAAATTTTCACAATATCGTATATTTTACAGGATTGTTAATTAATAGAAAATACGTTGTCTTCATATTATTAAATTAATCGTATGATCCAGCTTAAATGAGTGAATCAATTTAAGTCAATTCAATTAAATTTTCCGTTAATTAAATTTTTATTTAAAAAAAAAGTAATATTAATAGAGTAAAGGTCCACAAGAATAAGCAAGGTCGCTATGTTTTTTTGTCTCTTGTTTCGAAAAATTATCATTATACTATGTGTTTTTAATAAAGCGTTTTTTCATTTCCTCTAGAGACAGATAAAAATCCATCATTTTTGTAGGATTATCCATTTTTTGAAATAGTTTCGCAAATCTTTAGCTTTGAAGTAGTATCGGACATCTTTTTTGGTGGATTTTTATCTTTCTAATAACGAAATTAAAAAAGACACTTAACATAAAAAAACACCATGTATTTCAGATGATCATTCACTAAAATATGTGTTTAGTGGTGATAGGCTTTACAAAAATTAAATTTCAACCTTCTCTAATATCGTAGTAAAATTTTTAATGAATGTTCAATGTTCTTAAACCTAGTTCATTGGTTTGCCCGATTACCACGGTTGATAAACATAACTTAGACAATAAAGCGATTATGTTTTATATCTTCATATTGACCTTGTTTTTTTTCAGGCTTGCAGTTGCGCAAACGGAAGGTCATCAGAGGTAATATTCTAGTTTGCATTAATTAAACAAATTCAAGCATTTAAGCATTAAACATAGCCTTATATTTTGGGAAACAACGATATTAACGCAAATAATAGGAAACAACGATATTAACGCAAATAATAGGAAACAACGATATTAACGCAAATAATAGGAAACAACGATTTTAACGCAAATAATAGGAAACAACGATTTTAACGCAAATAATAGGAAACAACGATATTAACGCAAATAATAGGAGACAACGATTTTAACGCAAATAACAGGAGACAACGATTTTAACGCAAATAATAGGAAACAACGATTTTAACGCAAAAAAATAGGAAACAACGATTTTAACGTAAATAATAGGAAACAACGATTTCAACGCAAATAATAGGAAACAACGATATTAACGTAAATAATAGGAAACAACGATATTAACGCAAATAATAGGAAACAACGATTTTAACGCAAATAATAGGAAACAACGATTTTAACGCAAATAATATGAAACAACGATATTAACGCAAATAATATGAAACAACGATATTAATGTAATAAGTTTGTCCGGAAACCGGTCGGAAACTGAATACATTGTCTCATTAAAAACGAACCCCAGTTTCAGAAGGAATTTAAATTAAAAAGCTCTACGTGAAATTAAACTAGATCTTATGTTAGTAAAAGCATGGATCCTTTGTTCCAAAAAGCTCTTGAGAAAAATTTAAAAAATATGTCAAACCTCTAATTTGTTTTTCTATAATTGTGCAAAAAATCAAAGTTAGAAGAGACATGAGGTCTCAAATTCGCACCAAAAATTTCGCATTAATTTGACATTTTTCTTCTGTTTACATTGAACAGACTGTTTCTTTTTTTTCTTTATCAAAAGTTGAAATAGTGTAGTTTTTAATTGAATGTAATAAATGCAATAGAATAATGTATGTTTTTATCAATTTATGGTATAATTGAAATGAATGTCAATATATGATCAATGGTAGCGATTTTTAATTCGGATTTATCCTAAACCCCTTTTATTTTTTACGAACATTCCCTTTAAAACATTTATTTATCTTTATTTAGACATCACAAGCTGGTCCATTTTCTCCCAGGTAAGAAATAAACAGCTAATAAAGACGAAATAATTGTAAACAATCTGATGACAAAATGTGTATCGGAAAGAAGGTTGAACGACTTTACATACACCCTGTTGTACGAGGGGGGGGGGGAGTGCAGAAGTCCTCAATTAATAATTACCGCCACACAAACTTGTTTTGCGGCATGCGCGCTCCTAAATTGGTAATCTCCACCACCTCAATTTGTAATCAGAAATAAAAATGTTAACATTAAATAGTTTATTTCTTAAAAATAGGACCATATTGACCTCTGTTAATGGCCCTATGGTGCACAATATCCTTAAAGGTTTCTGTATTGCACCTCATTTTCGAAAATAAATCTATAAATATGCCACATGAAGCGCCAGAAATAAAATTACGTTTACCTTTAGGCATGCGCTCTCCTCAATTAGCAATGAGTGCTAGAAATAATTAGCAAACTTAATACTTCATTTTCACTAGAGGGCGCGATGAGACTTATTTTCAAATTTGTATGTTCTTTCTATGCATGTAATTAGTTTTGTTGAACTCGAGTAGGCGAATACAAAAATAAAAATTACCAATTGAGGAGCGTGCATGCCGCAAAACACGTTTTGGTGTCGGTGATTACTAATTGAGTACGTCTGCACTCCCCCTCCCCCCTCGTCGTACACCACATAGTGAACATCATATCGTAAAATTAGATGTACTACAGGGTTATCCACTTTATAGACGACTGCACGGAATTGATACGGTCTGTGCTCATGGTCCCCTTCAACAGTTAGTTTGTGTCTTTCTTTGTCAAATCAATAAATAAACCATTAGAACGACTTTATTTTGGGTAGAAGTTTTAGGTTGTCTTTACAGTCTCATCCTTTGTGGGTAACCCTTTATCATCCGACTATCATAGATCAAAGACGGGTTTTATTATGCTAAATTAAAATTATCATGTTTATAATGAACACGCTGTGTTTAAAACACAATATTCATGTTTGTATTATTTGTATTCATGAAGAAAATTCTAAAAAATTTAAACAGAAATACAAAATATCGTATGTATTTTAATCAAAACATAATGTACGAAAATTAATTCTTCTTAACAAGTATCAATTTTTACAAATTATTTTTAAAATGTTTCAAAGGTCTATATGGGCTTTTACTGAAAGGAGAATCTATTGATAATAATCACTTGCTGTTATTGTTTTTCCGATCATAACTCATAAACCCTTTGACCAATTTACCTCTAATTTTATTTTAATTGTGGAATCACAGAAATGTTTTTAGCTTGTTTTAAAAATTCTGGCTTACTTTTATGGAGAGAAAGATTGATATAAATGCAAAGCTGGGTTCTCAAGCTAGTGTACCCAGTGTGAGCTCAATAGCCGGAATAATGATAGGTCCATTGATGTAACCCTTCAGTCCTCATACGGACCCGGAGCTAAGCTCAGATTGAAAGTAGTCCGGCGCGCCTGTAAGCATGACAGCTTATTAGCTCTTTTGTATATAGCTATAGGTCGGACAGAAAGTGAGACGAATAATAAGTTGCCTCGTGTACGGTGTATATTGTATTCAGAGTCTGTCTTTTAAAAATGCCATCTAGAAATCATGCTTTCAACGCGTGGAAAATTCCAGCCGCCGTTAAACTCTCTATGTTAAACTTAGGCTAATTCAGGCCACGAGGCTTTAACGCAGGAAAGAGCGGAAAATAGGATTGGCATGGGCTAAAACCGAAATGGAGTTAAGTAATGACGGAAGATTTACTAGTCGTACGAGACGGATGAAAGGCGGAGAGTCTGCCAGAGAGCTCCGGCTTTCCATGATTCATTAGTATCATTTTATTTGTTCTTTTTTACTTGCAAATACAATTTTTCCTATACTCTGTAATTTACTCACATCAGTTTCAGGCTTCAGATTTCCTTTATTTCATACGACTTTTAAATGGTAACACTAGTAAACTATCTATATATCTGTTTTTATAAAGTTGTAATCTCTATTTGTCTGTCTGATTGTTTGTCTGATCATAACTCTGGAACCCCCTGACCAATTTGCCTCAAATTTAGATGAGAGAACTCGGGAGAGCTATACGGGACTGTTTTTAGCCTGGTTTTGAGATTCTAAGTTGAGTGGATCCACTTTTATCGGGAAAAAAATATTCAAAATCGTAATTTACGACAAAGCTCGGTTAATTGGTGGGACTAACTATGACCCAAGCTAGTATATTTATGCTTCTCTCATTAACATGATTTTTTTTTATTATTTAATAGATTATTTTGGTTTCCATCAACCCCGTCAACAGATTGTTGCACCACAACACCACCAACAACAGCAGCAACAACAGGTGTTTAAAGGGGCTGTCCATGTAATTTCAAATGACATTTTATTTAAAAAGTGACATGTCCAATTTTCAAAATTTTCAACGATACCCTTTTTATACCTTTGTCTATTCAAAAAATATTAAGGTATCAACTTCTTTCCTGTTTTCAATTACGTTTCTACGTAAAAGCAGATTTATGCAGCTGCAGACAGAAAGGAAAATTGAAAGGATAAGTTTCAAGTGAAGATAAATGGCTGAAGGGTACCATTGTGACTGTGTTTGTAAACAAAGGGAGTCCAGTTTCTGTATTACTCTGCACTTCGTACAGACCAATTTGTATATATATATACATATATCATTTTTAAATACTTGGGACGTAAAATGTCGTCATCCAACTATGAGTTTGGTCCACTTTAGTATTTAATCACTTTGTCAGAAACTGTGATTGTGATTCCAATGTTTTGTTTTAATTGTCTATAAATATTTCATTTTTGATCCCATTCCATCCTTTAATTGTAAATATTCTTATTTTCTTTCTCATTCTTTTTGTTTGATTATGGGTTTAAAACAATAAATTATTTAGGATTCAAAAGAAATTAGTTTTTGTCACAAACTTAATTGAATTATTAATTTATGTATCAATTGATTAATTACCTAGCCAACCCGTTGACGAACTGTCGATGTGGAGTTAAGAAGGTTGGAACAAGGATCGTAGGAGGAGTAGAAACTGCGGTATGTTTCCTTTCATTCATATGCTTTCATCCTTTCATTCTTACTTTCATCCTTTCATCCCTACTTTCATCCTTTCGTTTTTTATTCATCTTTTCATCCTTTCATGCACCCACCTACATATTCTTTCATTATTGTTTTCATCCTCTCTTTTTTTCAAATTTTTCTTTTATTTTTTTACCATTTTATTTTTTACTTTTATGCTTTCATTTATCCTTTTATCCCTCCAACCCTACATTTATCCTTTGATTCTTTCATCCTTTCATTCCCACATGTATCCTTTCATTCCCACATGTTTCCTTTCATTCCCACATGTATCCTTTCATTCCAACATGTATCCTTTCATTCCCACATGTATCCTTTCATTCCCACATGTATCCTTTCATTCCCACATGTATCCTTTCATTCCTACATGTATCCTTTCGTTTCTTCTGTCATTATTTCATATATTTACTTTTCATATCTTCATTCATACTTTCCTCATTTCACTATCCCTCCTGAATTTATCTACACTTATTCTTTTTTTATGTAATCATTTCTACTACCATATTCAATCCAATTTTCCTATTTATAATTTATATTTTCATGCCTCTTTACATATTTATAATTTTACATTGGTTCTTACTTTTACATAATTATTCCTCTCTTCATATTTATAATTTTACAATTATTCCTACTTCACATATTCATTCCTAGTTCCATGCATTCCTGCGATATTCATAATTTTCTTTTTCCTTTTTATTTTTCATTGACCATGAGATATTAGTAATTCATATGATTATTTTGTTATTTATTCACCTTCTTGATTTGATTTCTTTTGATCATTTGTGTTGAAATTCTTATAGTTATACATAATGAATTATTAATAATCTACTATTCTTAGATAAATGAATATCCCTGGTTGGTTGCTCTTAGCACTCTAGGTAATATTGCCATTGTCGTAAATATGTCGTCTTCTTTTTATGTCGTCTTCAGTTTTGTTGTAATTTTAATAAATATAATATTTAATAACATTGTTTTACAGGAGACAGCAGCTATTTTTGCGGGGGAAATCTTGTGTCTTCACAGGTAGAACTAAGATAGTTTAGAAAATTTGACCCTTAACACTATGTCGTCTTCCATGATTTGTTAGTATAAACAATAATAATGAATTTTATTTAGTTTGTTATCACAGCTGCACACTGCGTCACTTCAAACTCAGTAAGTTTTTTAGAATCACACCAGTCTGACCCGATTTGGCTGTGAAAATTGACTAAATGTCCAATTGGGTATGAATAGTTGGGACAGTCCAGATTTGACCATATTTTGTTCCTATTTGGACGTGAGAATGAATACAGTAGAATGCAGTAGAATATAGTAGAATACAGTAGAGTACAGTAGAATACAGTAGAATACAGTAGAATACAGTAGAATACAGTAGAATACAGTAGAATATAGTAGATAGAATACAGTAGAATACAGTAGAATACAGCAGATAGAATACAGTAGAATACAGTAGAATACAGTTGACTACATTAGAATTATTCTATGCTTATTACAGGGTGTGGCCAGTGCACCAACAGATTTTAAAGGAAAGATTTTTTTAGAATTAATAAAAAAAAATTGATTGGAAATGAAAAAAGAATATTCACTTTAGCATATATAAATAGAATCAGAAGTATGGAAAGGTTTTTAAAGCTCCTTGAGATAAAAAAAAGTATTTCTATGAAAAATTTTAAACCTTAAAAATTGTGGTTCAAGGTGAAAGGTTCTGTAAAATTCGATTTAATTCAATATTTATTTACAAATTAGATATATAAGTCGGTAATTAAACAATTAAATTAATCTTGATACAGTTGTAATTGGGGACCATGACAGGTTTTCAAGCACAGAGACAAGTCTCAGGTAGGGCTTGATTTAAAAAAAAATATTTTAAACTTTAATTATTAATTTCAAATTGCACAAAAATGATAATTACTTATTATATAAATCCCCAAGACAAAGTGCAAAATTTTGACTACTTATTTTATTCCATTAATAAGATTTTTAAAAGTTTTAGTTTCTATTTTTGAGTTTTTCTAATTAATGTTTAGAATGGTTCTAACTGTTGAAAAAATAATAGTTCATGAAAGTTTTGTCGCCTCGACAAAGGAAAATGATATAGCAGGTCAGTTAAATAAACTTTTTCCATCACTTTTCTATTTTATATTTTTTTTCTTAATGGGTTTGTTCGCGAAAAATGAAAGGAGGTATAGGCTTAGGTCTAAAATATTCCATGGTGATGCTACTAATCTTACTTCTATCTGTTGCGTCTATAAGGAGAAAATTGTTAAAAACGAAGAAGAACGAAGCGTCCATACAAATATCAACTATATATACAAATGCGTCAAAGTATAATCTATGATTATAAGTTGTAATATCTGAATGATTTGTTTGAAATTAATTTGGTTTTTCATGATCCGAGTTGAATATTGCATCTTTCTGAATTTGTATGTACGCTACGTTCTTCGGTATGAGTCTTCTTTAACAATTTTCTCCTTACAGACGCAACAGATAGAAGCAAGATTAGTAGCAATCACCATCGAATATTTTAACGACGTATGCTTATATCCCATTTCATTTTTCGCGAACACTCCCTTTAAGGTTGGTATTTTTTTTTACTTTTTAAAATATGTTTATATTCTTTGACATTTTTTTAAATCATTCAATAATTTGCTTTTGAATTTTATTTCAAATAAACCTGTAACACGAACATTTCTTCTTGGACAACAGCTGAGCTAGGAACTTTTGAGTTGGATGCCCATAATACCGATCACTTAATCTCAATATCCATAATAGGCACTTTTGAGTCTTCTTGATCTCTTTTTTGGATATCCGAAAGTTCTCAGTTCATTGTTTAAGCGCAAAGTTTTTCTGATTGGTTGTTTGTTTTCCGCATTCGACACTCTGATCAGTTGAATTTTATCACTTCACTGGATATGAATTCACTAAAGATTAAGATAAAAGCTGGAGTTCTAAATTCAAGATTCAAGAATTCCTAGCTTTGATCACAGGTGTTTGCAATTTGCAAACAAACTGGAACAATATTTGACATTCAGAATTTTCAAAATTGGAAAGTTTTCATCATATTTCGAAATTTATTATTATTTTTGCATTTAGTTTTGAAGCTTGCTACTCCAGTTGATCTCCTAACATATACTCCAATATGTCTTCCGCTCAGTAATACTGATTTCACGGGTAAATAAATATTTTTTGATAAATTGTTAAATTTTAAGATGAATTCTGAAGCCTGGTACTTTATTGTACTAAAGTGTATTGCGATGTACTGGATTGTGTACTGTTAAGGGACTGACGTCGTAATTTCAAGTAACTCTTCCTTTTGTAAGGAGGCATTCTCGATTTTCTACTTAAAAAGTGTTAATTTCTGATAATTTCCTGATAAATCTGCATCTCACATTACATAGAAATCACAATTCAAATTAATCATCTACAGTTAGAAAAGCAAGGATATCTTCTTTATCCTTGATCAGGTTTATAAGAAATAGTTATTCCTCCTGAATCACATTTTTTCACTTCATTTAGAGCATTTAAATAACATTCAATATGGACGGAGAAAATGCCAATTTATTGTTTATAAGCAAGACTAAAACCATCGAATAGCTAAAGGGGTATTAAGTTTACCCTGAAAATATTATTCTATTATTATAAATTATCCAGGGAAAACTGGAGTTGCCTATGGATGGGGCACTACCTCAGCTGGGGGCAGGGATGTTGCAATTATAATAAATTTGTCTCTAGCGCTTTTGTTATTTAATAGATTCACATCAGTATATTGCACAAAGATTTTTAATTTGATAATTGCAACATTATTTACCTGTCTATAGTCAGGTATTGGATCAAAAATAATAATAATAATAATAATAATAATAATAATAATAATAATAATAATAATAACAATAATAATAATAATAATAAAAATAATAATAATAATAATAATAACAATAATAATAATACTGTAGCCTGCTGCCGTGAGGGAGGTGAATGTACCTATTGTCTCTGATGCAGTATGCCGTGTACCATATCCTACGGTTAGAATTAGAATTTTAAAATAATTAAAAGAATATATGCAACGTTTTATAGCATAGAATTTAATGCATGCAATTATTGTGAAGTGATTAATGCAACCATTATAAAGCGGTATAAAATATTTGATTATAATTTTAATTAAAAACTTCGCTAAAGATTTTGAATATATAATAATAATATAAAATGTGCTTTGAACATTATTATTAAAAGATCCACAAAGACAACTAATATTCCGGCTGATATTATTGGCTTATAGTATATAATATAATATAGTTTACAATGTTTATCTTTTTTATTTGTTATTAAATATATATAATTCTTTTGTCTTACTTACAATTACAATTATTACAAAAAAGTTACAATTATTAATGATTATTTGTTACTTTTTTGTCCAAAAAAATCAGATTACTTTGATTGTGTTAGGCAGTGAAATGGGTTGAGTTGCATTTAAAATCAAGCAGAGCTGATCTTTAAAACAAGTTATTCAATATTAATTCATTAAAATTTAATTTTGTGTTTTTTAGTTGATCGACGCTGTAATGGTTTGTGCTGGAGAAACAGGGAAGGATACTTGTCAGGTTAGTTCTAGTATTGTAGGGGCGTACTCAGGATTTTTACAAGATGGGAAAAATTATGCGCGACACTATTCTTAGTCCCCTGTCTCCCTTGTTATATTTGTTCCGTTGTTGCTATTAGTGTGTCTATAGTCCCTTTTAGTGTCTCTATACTCCACTTTAGTGTCTCTATACTCCCCTTTAGTGTCTCTTTATTCCCCCTTAGTGTCTCTATACTCCCCTTTAGTGTCTCTATACTCCCCTTTAGTGTCTCTATACTCCCCTTTAGTGTCTCTATAGTCCCTTTACGTGTCTCCATACTCCCCTTTAGTGTCTCTATAGTCCCCTTTAGTGTCTCTATACTCCCCCTTAGTGTCTCTATAGTCCCCTTTAGTGTCTCTATACTCCCCCTTAGTGTCTCCATACTCCCCCTTAGTGTCTCCATACTCCCCTTTAGTGGCTCTATACTCCTCTAGTGTCTCTATGGTCCCTTTAAGTTTCTCCATACTCCCCTTTAGTGTCTTTATACTCCCCTTTAGTGTCTCTATACTCCCCTTTAGTGTCTCTATACTCCCCTTTAGTGTCTCTATACTCCCTAGTGTCTCTATGGTCCCTTTAAGTTTCTCCATACTCCCCTTTAGTGTCTTTATACTCCCCTTTAGTGTCTCTATACTCCCCTTTAGTGTCTCTATACTCCCCTTTAGTGTCTCTATACTCCCCTTTAGTGTCTCTATACTTTAGTGTCTCTATACTCCCCTTTAGTGTCTCTATACTCCCCTTTAGTGTCTTTATACTCCCCTTTAGTGTTTCTATACTCCCCTTTAGTTTATTGCAGTACCTTTTATAGTTAAATGTATAATCAATGAAAGAACCGTACAGTTCTCTGTATTGTCCTCACCGTTTCAATAGTCTCCTTTAGCAATATCCATTCCTCTTTTAAGTTTACTATAGTCTCAATGGATGACTTTGTAGCCAGATGTATTGCCCTGTGTATTGTTTTTCGTAACTTTTTTCGGTTTTACAAAAAAATATCATTTCATTTTAGAAAAAAAAGATCGTTTTTGAAAACGAACCACTCGTTTTGAACTTTTAAAAAACGAAAACTATCATTGATCGTTTTTAAAACGACCGTTTCGTTTTTCGTTTTTTCTTCGTCGTTTTTATAAAGAAACACTTGTTTCTTTGAAGTGAAAACGATCTATTCCTTGTGTATTGATAGTTTTGGAATATAAAATGTTAATGGTTATGTTTGAGAATTCATTCATCAATTTTTCAAATTAAAGGTGGCAAAAATATGATGTTGGAAAATATGAATTTTAGGCGAGTAATCAATTCCCTTAAAATTAAAAATCACTCTTTTTTCCCCGTTTTCTAATATTCTCTTTGCGCTGGTTTTACTAAAAAACACTTGGGTAACACCTTTTTAAAACTAAAAAAATGCAAACTTCTGTAAAGTCGTTTTTAAATCACTATACCGGGACCTTCCTTAATTTTAGCTTGTATCCCCTTCCACCAATGTTGGGTATATTAGAAATATAATCGGGATTTACAAATCAAAGAGATTTTGCTGAATCAGTGAAATTAAACACGTAAATGTAACAAAATATCACTAATCAATCAGTACACATATTTTAAACTTACTTATTGTATATATTGTGTAAACAGCAAACTGCACTAAATACGATTAACCCCAAAAAAGGTTAATATTTATAATTTACGCTTGTATAATGAAATGTGGAAATCATGGCAAATGTCATTTTCTTTATTTCTTTAGTTTAAGAATATGGCAGATAACTCTGAAATTTGTAATTGAAATAACTGATATACATATGTGAAAAGAATGTTCAGGATAATCTAAATAATTGAATCAGTTACAAATACAAAATCCTTACGCAATAAATGGAAAGAAGACGACAATAACTCCCTTGTTTTCGGGTTACCACGTTTTAACACTTCGTGTAATTGACATTTTATGTAAGAAACATTTTTTATAATAAACGTTCATTACTATTAAAATAAATGAGAAGAATTTACACATTTCTTCATATTAACCCTATCCTATTGCAGGGGCATACGAGGGCTTTTGTTTAGGGGGGGGGGCACAATTTGCGCGCGTAAGCGCGCCAAAAACATTGTGCTCCCTCCCTTAAAAACCCCTTTTTTGAATGATACTATAACTAAAAGTATATAGTCAATAAGACTCAGTCCCGAAAATGGATAGGATCGGCTCGAACGGTGCATCCTGATCAACACTGTTATGGTCGGCACCTCCCAGCTTATCATGGCCCACAACTGGCTCATCAGAACTCAAAATTCCAAACCTTTTAGCTGATAAATTATTTTCTTGTCTCGTTTAACAAACTTTCCTAAAATGATCATCCTAGGTTTTAATGAGGCTCGTACTTCGATTGGAGTTATTTAAATAATTATGGGAATGGAACTTTGGTTAAATTATTTAAGTAAATATAAAATTACAAATTCTCAGTTAAAATTGGGCGCCCTTTGAAATTTACGAGTATGTTATGGTGCATCATTTTTATTGTTCATAATGTTTTTTTAAATAACTATTTTAGAGGAAAGAATTATTTTTTTTTGGAGGGGGGGAAATAAGTTAAGCAGTTTACATTAAAAGGATCGTCATTATTTCAATTTATACTTAAATGTAAAGTTTTGCATGACGTCGCTGGATTTTTGAAAATCCAATTTCAGTTCACTAAACTTATTATTAAAAAAACGTAATAACTGTTGAGACTTTAATGCTTTGGCATGGAAGACTGACCGTATAGTTGTGGCTCATGGCTGCCGGAAGACAAAAAAAAATATGTGGCATGGAAGGGGAAAATGCTGTGGCTTATGGCCGCCTGCTTTCCCCCGCTCATCTGATTTGGGGAAGTGTGATATATGCCCCTAGTCCAACTTTACAAGGCCAGTTCATTAAAGAAAAATTAGACCTCTGACTTTAATGGCAAGGGTGCTAGGGTAGAGTAGGGAGGTTTGTAAAGAGTTGAGAAATTGCGCCGGTACAATGTTAAAAATATCTTTTTCGTTTGACAAATATTGACATGTGTCACATGATATCACATTCATTTTTCAAGGGCTTTACAAATAGATCTGTAAAAGTTATGGACTATTTTTACTTGAAACACATGCTTAAAAAAATGTGCCAAATTGTTTTAAAAGTATGAAGTTGAAAAATCTAAGAAGTTTGAGCCTTCTAGTGTTGCTTTGAAATTAGGCATTTGATCTATTCCCATTTTACTATACATAATATGTACAATTGCTGCGCGCACGCACGTATGTATGCCTGGATCCTGAGTATAGCTTCAGTAAGGCTTAAACCAACCATGGACGCTGATGTAAACTTACTTTGATTTCTTTCTTAATAGATGACATTCGTGTAAGTAATTATATGAAATCATTATAAAAATTGTTCTTATCAATGTTATATTAGGGGAAATCATAAGTTATTTTTGGAGGGGGAAATCATAAGTTATTTTTGGAGGGGAAATCATAAATTATTTTTGGAGGGGAAATCATAAATTATTTTTGGAGGGGAAATCATAAGCTATTTTTGGAGGGGAAATCATAAGTTATTTTTGGAGGGGGAAATCATAAGTTATTTTTGGAGGGGGAAATCAGGAGTTGTTTTTGGAGGGGAAATCATAAGTTATTTGCTTATGTACAGGGTTATCCACAAATCTAACGACAACCTGCAACTTTTCCAATTTAATGATTTAAAGGTGGATTTATTTCTCTTTTCTCTTAATAATGGGATACTTGAAAAATAAAGAAATACGTTTAAAGCTGTGTAGGGAACCATGAATGTTATTGAAAAATTACCATCTTCTCGGCCGTATAAAAAAATAACAAAAAAATATTTATTTTGTAACATTTAATCCCTTGATATCGTTACAATCCCAGACATAAACCCTAGGGAAATCAAGATCAATCGTTGCCCCCCCATCTTTGAGGGTTAATGCAAGACTTCACTTTCATTCCCAGTACCAGTTCATAATTCACCCAAACCTCTCTTCTTGTGTATAATATTATCTCTCAAGGTCTTGAATAAGTGGGTGGTTTAACATTACACATTTTATTGGTACAAATATATCTGTTAATATCTGTTTATATTAAACCATATTCCATATATTTGTGGAGTCCCTCAGCGGTAAAACAAGCCTCCACTAACTCTTATATGAGGAAGAGTCCCTCAGCAGTGAAGCAAGTCTCCCCTAACTCGTATATATGAAGAGT